TCCTCACCGAGCTCCATCCTCCCTCTGAGCTCCCAGAGCTGCCACGTGTCCAGGCATCCTGCCCCCAGAGGCTGAGGGACCCGTGGGCTGGGGTGCAGCTGTCCCTGTGGCAGCCGTCCCCGTGGCAGCCCCGGTGCTCCAGTGGGCAAGGAGCACTTGAGGAGAGGGCAGCTCCCCACCCCCGCCCAGTTTCCTAAGGTCAGGGTCAGGACCTCACAGTCTGTGAGTTGTCTTGCCGTCAGTGAGGCTCTCTCCCTCTCTGTGGGAGGGGTATGCCGGCCGAATTGGCACCCAGTCCACGTGCTGCTGCTGCTCGGGGCCTCAGTTTTCCCACATCCATGGAGCTTACATGCTGGCTGTTGGGAATGTTTGGGGGCCCGGTCCATGGCCACAGGAGAGTGAGTGGGGCTGCCCCTGCCCTGGGGCCGTGGTACCAGCTCACCCTGCCGGAGCCCGGGCATGACTGGGGCGCTTGGGGAGGGCGATCCCACCCTCTACTTGAGCAGCCTTGGGGTGGGGTGGGGGATCCCCAGAGGCCGAATGTGCCCATGGCAGTGGCTGGGTGGGCCCGGGGTTGGTGGGGACCCTCGAGGCAGCACGGCCAGCTGTGGAACTTTGCAGGGACCCAGATCGAAGCAGGGGCTGGCCATGGCCGGTCTTGGCCTGAGCCCCACGCCTCTGGCTGGGAGACACAGACTGGGCCTGGTGTGAAACCCAAGCTGCCTCCCAGGCCCATCCGCCCGCTGCTCTGACCCAGGAAGCCACTGTGCTACATGGCTTCTGCTTTTGACCCTGAAAGGGAAGGATGGACTGTTCCGTTTTGACATTTCTGGGTCCTGATTATAATCTTGGTGGGGACCAGGGAGCAGGAGGGTCAGGGAACTTGAGGCTGGGCAGGCCTTTGAAGCACAGGAACCCCCCTTCGAGCCCCTGGCCGGTTCCCCTTCACCCAGAGCCCTCCCCCCCGGTGCAGAGGCAGGTGTTACAGGAGACCAAAGGGGGGGGGCCCACTTACAGGCCACGCCGGGAGCCCCACGGGCTGAGGCGGGGACCACACAGGGATACCCTCCCAGCCCCCCACCACTAGGCCGTGTGCTGGGCTGGCGAGCCCCAGGAGCCCCAGAGGCCTGCCGTGGGGACAGGAGCTGGCATTCCCGTCATGTTCTGGGTGGGCCCTATGGATCTCTGTTTCTGATCGAACAGGCCCCTTCCTCCCTGTCACCCGATTCTGGCTTCTCCGCCCCTTGTCTGCTCTCTTGGCCAGGTAGAAAGACCACAGCCGGCTGCAGAGTTGTGAGATGGGGGGAAGGGGGGGCGTGGGGGCCGGGGGGCCACCCGGAGGGGCGTTCCTGCTTTGGGCCCAGCCCGGGTCTGGCAGCCCCCGACTCGGGCACTCTCAGCGGTGGGCGATGTCGTCCATGCTGACCGCTGCCCAGCAGGCCATGGGTCAGAAGGCGCCCCGTCTGCCTTGAGGACCCAGAACAAGACCTTGAATGCCAGGCCTCCCCCAACGACCTTGCCTCTGGGGGGCGACCAGGCCCCGTCCGCGCCTTACCTCAGGTGCTGAGTTTTTAAGGACAAACAAAATCACGGTCACCTAGAGCTGTGGCCTCGGGCAAGGCAGACACGGACTCTGTACGCTCGCTCGCCCTCCTGCAGGGGCGTCTGAGCAGGCGGCTGGCTCGGGCCTGGTGCCCGGGAGGCGCTCTGGCTACTTCGCGGCCTGGTCCTGGTTCTGCAGCCACCAGGAGGCCTGGGCCGAGCAAGGCTCCGCTCGGAGCTCAGCTATCAGTTCCCGTGGGACTCAGGCGTGACCCGGAGCATGCAGAACCACACGTGTGATGTGTGTGATGTGTGTGTGTGATGTGCGTGTGGTGGGCATCGGCACGTGTGCCTCCCGCCCGTCCTTGGAGGCCCCTGGGCCCACGCCACACCACCCAAGCTGTCGCGGGGAAGGCCCCGGCTGGGCTCGGCCCAGTGCTCCCCAGCCGGGGCGGCGGGGACGGGGCCCTCCCCGCTCTGCGTCTGTAGGCCAGCCAGCCCCGGTGTCTGGGGTCCAAGGCCCTGTCACTGACCCCTTCCCTCTGCAGGACATGCTGCGCCAGCGCGCCCTGCTGCTCTCGCTGGGGGGTCTGCTCTGCCTCTGGTCAGGTGAGTTCTCTGCATCCTGGGTCGGAAAGAAAGGGGCCCGCCCCCAGGCTCCCTCCCGGGCTGAGTTCCAGGGGCCGCTTCAGAAGGACTGTGCCACTGGGAGCAAGTCCCAGACTGCGGCCTCAGTGTCCCCACACTCTGCAGCGTCCCCACACTCCTGGAGGCATGGCCCATGAAGCCTGCCTTCCTCCCTCCCTTCCTGGTCCTCCTGCCGACCCTCCTTCTCCCCCACACCCCACCCGTTTGGGGCTCTCCTGCCCCCGCCCCATTGCGGCAGCCTGAGCGCCTGCGGCTCCGTGGGCTCTGTCGGTGGACCCGCGGGCAGGCACCGCTCACAGGGCCGCGTCCTCTTGCCCCCAGCCTTCTGCCAGGAGTGCACCAAGTACAAAGTCAGCACCTGCCGGGACTGTGTGGAGTCGGGCCCTGGCTGCGCCTGGTGCCAGAAGCTGGTAAGAGCCACCGTGCACCGCGTGGCCACCAAGGGGCCTCGCGCCTGGGCTGCCGTCCCCGTGCCCGGCCCCCGGGTTGGGCGTCCTCGCTCTGCTTCTGGAACTGCTGGCACCCAGGGGCGCCACCACTGTTTCCCCAGACCCCGACCACTCCCTCCTCCCCCGGGACCCCCCCAGACCCCGACCATGCCCTCCTCCCCCCGGGACCCCCCCAGATCCCGACCATGGCCTCCTCCCCTCAGGACCCCCCGCCCCAGATTCTGACCACAGCCTCCTCCTCCCGCAGAACTCCCAGATCCTGACCACGCCCTCCTGCCCTGGGGGTCCCTGAGGTTTTGAGGCTGCATGCATGCACACGCATTATTATTTTTTCTCAAGCATTTGAGAGTAGACTGCAGACCTGAAGCCCCTTCATCCTTAATACGTCCCGCCTCCTTCTCAAGAGCAAGGCATCCCCCCAGAGACCCACAGTGCGCTCTTCCAAGACGGGACAGCTGCCAGGGCGCGGGATCACATCTGCACGCCCTACGCAAATATTTCCAGCGGTCCCAGGGATGCCTTTGGCAGCGTTTGCCTCAGGCTGTGGATGACCCAGGATCCGTTCTGCCCACGGCGGTCCTGTCCCTTTAGTCTCCTGGAGCCGTGACAGAGAACCCCCTCTGCTCCGTCTTGCACATCCTTGACATTGACGAGTGCAGAACAGCAACCATGTAGAAGGCCCGGCGCTCCCTCTGCTCGGGTCCAGGGCCTGCGTTTGAGCAGGAGCCCTGCACCGGGCTCACGCCGTCACCACGTCCCAGCACGGGTCCCCGGCTAGCTTGGACCACTCAGCTGAGGTGGCATCAGGAGGCTTCCCCACCAGGATACCAGTATTTACTCTGCGGTGAATCAGTAACTTGTGGGGAGATGCGCCGGGGCCAGGAGACCTTCCCTTCCCGTCAGGCCCACACCCCTCACGGGAGCACCCCGGGTGCTTCGTGCCTGAGTCGCTCAGTACCGCGAGGGCTGCAGAGGGGTGGCGTCCAGGTCATAAACTCCTGTAAGGGCTTCTAATGTAAGGAGGAGTTTGTCCTTCTCCCCCTGTCTCTCTCTCATCCGCATGGACCCATAGAGTTTTAGAGTTTTATTTTATTCAGTAGCTTATAATGTATCTCTGTCATTTTGAGGCTCAAATAGTTCCAGATTGGGCCGCTGGGAGCCCCCTCCCCAGGCTCTGTGTCCCACTGGCACGCCCCTCATCGTTTTTTTTTCTTGCTTTTTATTTTTGAGCGCTTTCTTCCTCTAGAATAAGATGCCCCAGGCCCAGACCTACGTCCTGGCTGCAAGTGTGGAATGTTTCTCTGGAAGTTCCTGGTTCCCTTTCAGGAGAAGCCAGGCTCCTGACATCCGCAACACATTTCCTCATTTTCTCGTTCCCTCGATGCTCTGACAGGAGCTTCTGAGGCCAGCCCACAAGCAGCCTAGGGAGAAGTGGGGTGTGGGGTGTGGTCTCTCCCCTTGGATGTGATGTGGCCACAGCCCGGGGGCTGAAATGTCCCCCAGCGGGTTGGAGCTCCTCAGCCCCTCAGTGAGCTTATTTGATTTGTTGGAAATGCAGTGAGGCTGGTAGCTTCCACGCGGATTACATGGGAAGCTTTTCTCAGTTCCTGGGGAGTTCACTTGATTTCTCAAGTTCTTAAGCATTGACAGAGCTCCAAGGGGAAGTGCCAGCCCTCCCCGCCCCGCTATGGCCGCCCTGTGCTCACAGGCCGGCTGGCCCCCGCACTGCTGCCTTACCCTTCCCGAGTCCCCTTCCCTGAAAGGAAGCAGAGAGAGGTATCGTGTTCTGTAGCGCGCCCTTCCTTGGCCTAGCGCGAGGACCCATGGAATGGGGGCCCTGCTCCTGCCCCATTTATGGGGGCAAAGTGGGCATGAGGACACTACCCTGAACCCAGGACCCCCACACTCCTCTCCGAACAGCGAGGGGCTTGGCCCAGAGTCCCAGCCTGTGTGCCAGGGCTCCAGGGGTCCCACATGCTTTCTCTCGGGAGGGCGCACCCACCGAAGCTTCTGCATGGCCACCCCCGGCCAGGTGCCCCAGCAGGCTGCTCCTGGCCCTGGGGCTGCTGAGCGACCCCAGGGGCCAGCCTGAGGCTAGAGACATGGGTCCTTCAGTCATCTCTGCTGCCAGAGGCAGTGGGGGGCAAGCCCCTTGTTCCCAGACTGGCGTGATCTACGAGCCTCCTGGAGAGGCCGTCAGAAGGCAGGTGTCTTCCCAGCTGCCCAGCCTCCCACCCACCCCCACCCCCACCCCCGCGAGGACATCTGTTTTGAATCCCAGGTGCAAATGAGGAGGGGCAGCCTCCTTAAATGACCCTGAGGGTCACTCTTGTGCAGCACCCACAGTGTGGCCCCCACATTTTCTCTGCCCTCCTCCTGCCCCTGACCCCTCCCCCCTCAGAACTTCACTGGGCTAGGGGAGCCGGACTCGGTTCGCTGTGACACCCGGAAGCAGCTATTGTTGAAGGGATGTGCGGCTGACGACATCATGGACCCCAGGAGCCTGGCTGAGACCCAGGAGGACAAGAAGGACGGCCAGCAGCAGCTGTCCCCACAGAAAGTGACGCTCTACCTGAGACCAGGTAGGCTCGGCCTCAGCTGGGGGTGAGCCAGGATGTGTGTGTCGGTCACTCTGGGTGCCAGGGCCAACTGGTGGCACAAATGTCCATGTGACCAGGTCAGACGGCAGGTAGGTGAGCCCCAAGGACTGTTAGAAACCTCAAGAGCAGCGTCTGAGCTCCCCTGTGGGCCTCTCCCCTCTGCCTGCAGGAGGATGCCCCCATACCCGGTATCTGCGGCTACGTGCTTCTGCTCTGTGTCCTTTCCAAATGGGAGAGGGAACCATCTGGAAAACACTGTTCTATCCCACTGTCAGAATGCCAGGTGCTCTTGGCAGAGTAAAGGCTCTGATAAGTCCTGCAGCCAAGGAACCCGAGCGACTGTTTAAATCAGTGTTGCTCACACTGATTTGACCACAGAACCCTGCCAGTGCTCCAACAAGTGCCCTTCGGGAAGGCGGACATGGTGAAGGAACAGGACCTTGTGGACAGGCCAGGGCAGGGCTGGGGAGCTGCCTGCCCTGTAACACCACCCCCAAGATGGCAGGCAGCCCAGCAGGGAGTTGGAGGCACAGACAGACAGACAGTCCAGTCAGCCCCTCCCCCGGTCATTCACACTCCCGTCACATGTTTGCTGAGCAGCTGCTGTGGGCCAGGCAGTGCCCTGGGGCTGGGACCCAGGCCACACCAGGATGGGGGGGAGGGGCTGGTGTGGGGATGGAGCAGGCTTGCCCTGGCCGCCAGGTGCACCTCCCTCTCAGCAGTGCTGGGCGGCAGAAGTGTGTCCAAACGTTCTTTCTGGGAATGTGTGTTCCCTACTGCAACTCCAGTCTAGCTGGGTGCCCTGGGACTCGTCCACAGGCCTCGGGGGGAAGGGGCCGTCGTGAGCGTTTCGGGACCTGTGGAGGACACGCAGGTGCCCCCTAGACGCCCTGACTCTCCCCCGTCTCTACCGGCAGGTCAGGCGGCTGCCTTCAACGTGACCTTCCGGCGGGCCAAGGGTTACCCCATCGACTTGTACTACCTGATGGACCTCTCCTACTCCATGCTGGACGACCTCATCAACGTCAAGAAGCTGGGCGGTGACCTGCTCCGGGCCCTCAACGAAATCACCGAGTCCGGCCGCATCGGTGAGGCGCCCCCCCCCCCGTCCCAGCCAGCCCCGCTGCTCACGCGCCTCCCCACAGCCACGCAGCGCAGGGCACTAGGGGGCTGTGCCAGGGCCCCCCGGCCCCCCTTGGGCCACGCCTGGGGGCTGGCTCCCCGGACACTGTCACGCCGCGCAGCCCTCCACTTCCTCTGTGAAAAGTCAAAGACCACCACAGTATGACACACGCGAGGCACACCGAGAGCCGGTGGGGCCTGGGCGCCTGACACGCGCCCGCCCGTGTTCCCGTGCAAGTCTGGGGCAAAGGGGACACCCGCCTTTCATCTCTGCCCCCAGCCGTTGTCTCTGCGCGCAGACCCCCCCACGTGCCGTCGGGTTTTCTCGCCTGCCCTGGTTCGCAGCAGGGAAACTGAGGCTCGAGGGTGGGCCCACAGCCTCGCGCCGCCTCGGCCTCCCCCTCGCCCACTCATCCTGCCTGCCCCTCAGGCTTCGGGTCCTTCGTGGACAAGACGGTGCTCCCCTTCGTCAACACGCACCCCGAGAAGCTGAAGAACCCGTGCCCCAACAAGGAGAAGGAGTGCCAGCCCCCGTTCGCCTTCAGACACGTGCTGAAGCTCACCAACAACTCCAACCAGTTCCAGACAGAGGTCGGGAAGCAGCTGATTTCCGGAAACCTGGACGCCCCCGAGGGCGGGCTGGACGCCATGATGCAGGTCGCCGCGTGCCTGGTGAGGTCCTGCCCCAGCCCCGGCCCCCAGCCTTCCCCAAACCTCCCTCCATCAGCCGCAGGGCCACCCTCACTGGCCGGCCCCGCCCGCAGAGGGCCCCATCGGCCCGGATTTCCGGACAGCCGGGGGGCCTGCCAAGCACCCACACGCTTCGCCAGGGGCATGTGACCCTGGGCAACTCTGTTGAGGCCTCAATCTAATAAAGATCTTGTAAGGCTAGGCCGCGGAGCAGTGCCGCTGGCTCGCCCCTCCCTCCCCCCACCCCCCCGAAGGAGGCATCCCCACCAGGCGTCCCCATGTCTGTCTGAGCCGGCCCCTCGCCCCAGCAGCTCTCCCCCTGCCTCCCCGCCCACCCTGGTGGTCCTGCCCTCCCCCTGCCTGCCCGCCCACCCTGGTGGTCCTGCCTGGTTCCGTCCCGCCTGCAGTATCTATGCTGTGTTATGGTACCGACCACACCGTGGCTTTTTTTTTTTTCTAAGATTTTATTTATTTGAGAGAGAGAGAGCACAAGCAGGGGGAGCAGCAGAGGGGGAGAATCCCAAGCAGACTCCCCATTGAGCGCTGAGCCTGACGTGGGGCTCGATCTCACGACCCTGAGACCATGACCTGAGCCGAAACGGAGTCAGATGCTCAAGTGACCGAGCCACCCAGGAGCCCCTTTTTTTGTTTTTGTTTTAATATTATTTATTTTTATTTTTATTATTTTTTATGACACCGTTTTAAACCTTCACAAACCAGATTCCAATCTGTGGGCCCCCAGGCCCGTGGACTGACCGCCTTTCTATTTTTGTGTGATGCTGTGCTTTATGACACGCATGTCGCGAGCGTCCCCGGCCACCCGTGTCCCTTTGTGAGTCCCTCAGTTTCTCTCATCTTTCGTGTCTACCATGTTTTCATGTTGTGACACACATTTCTGTATTTCTTTCTGTTTCGGGGGCTACCTCCTTAGGATTAGTCCCTGGTCTGATTGGCCCCAGAGGGTGTTCGCATCATTTCAGCCCCCCAGCCACCTGGCCGTGTGCGTGGGCATTTCTCAAGCAGGCCACGGTGCTAGAATCCGGGCCGGATGGGGGACCCCGAGTCCCGCGGCTGGTCTCGGCTGGGGTCCGGCCTCGGCGTCCTCCTGCTCCCCGGGAGAGCCAGGAGTGGGGCACAGGCCCGGCACCGGCCTCCAGGCTACCCCACCACCCTCTGCCCACTGGGGAAACTGAGGCCCGTCACCCTGCCATCTTCCCAGGAGGAAATCGGCTGGCGCAACGTCACTCGGCTGCTGGTGTTTGCCACGGACGACGGCTTCCACTTCGCGGGTGACGGGAAGCTGGGTGCCATCCTGACCCCCAATGACGGCCGCTGCCACCTGGAGGGCAACCTATACAAGCGCAGCAATGAATTCGTGCGTGGCCCTCCCGTGTCCCCGTGTCCTCGGAGGGACCGACAGCCCAGGGGCCCTCCTGTGTCCCCGTGTCCTCGGAGGGACCGACAGCCCAGGGGGCCCTCCCGTGTCC